ATTTTAAAGTAAAATTACGTCTGTGTGTATTTAGGGAAGGACAGATCGGAACAGAGACACGTTATTATTATAAGCATTAATACAAAACAACAACAACAAAAATACAACATAACATTAACAAGAGATTATAATCTCAAGGGCATGACCGACCTTTAAAAATGCTTAAAGCTTTTAATGTAAAAAAAAAAAAACAAAACAAACAACAATTCATTTAAAACATTACCACAAAATACAGAAACAAAACAATACACTCGCAGATAATCCAACTCCCCCGCTGGTTGCCGGCAGTGGGGCAAAACGTCATCATTATCATCATTACTATATTGTCATTATCATGAAAAATGTCGAAAAACAAACGTCACATATACACACACCAATACAATCACAGTTATAGATGATGATCATTGGCTCACTCACGTGTCGTACAAATGAAATGAAAAAAATGTTATTTTTTTATTAGGTTTTCTTTTGACTTTTACTCTCCACTCACCCCCCACAATAGGTGTGCTACGGTTTGATCCCATCACAGCATTTTATTGACAATTTATCAATAAATTCAATTTTTAAGTTTTATGATCTAGACAATTTTTTGAACGATATTAAAGTGGTTTTTATCGTTGCTACTCCGGCAAGGCGATCGTGCTTCCAAGCCCTGCCCTTTATGTAAAATTAATTTTATTTTTTTATTTATTTCTTTTTTTATTCACAAATAAAACTGTACAACAAGGGAAATATTCAACGATATGTAAAACATTTTTGCATTTTTAATGAGTTGCCCTCCCTTTCCTTACCCTGGAATGTTATTAATACAATTTATAAAATTATTGTGAATTTGAAGAATTGCATCGTCGGGGTCGAACTGTCTGGGGGTATGGACGGGTTGTGAAAATTGAAACAAAATTGTTCCTATGATATTTGGGATTTTTTTCCAGAGGCAGGTACTTGTACCCTGATTTCGGGAAAGTATTTTTTCTTGCGGGACGAACGCAGATAACCGGATATTTTACCCAAAAATCCTGGTCCACGACTCGGATTTGACTCGGATCTCTACTAAAACCGATATGGACAATATAGGAATCATTTGAAAGCTAATAAAATACCTACAACACCTACCAAGTGGTCACATGATGGGGTTATTTAAAACGGTTCGGGTGGTATATCAAAATCAGCGATTATTTGGAAAAATATTTTTCACAACATTTTTATACCCTCAGTCATATGTATGGCTGTGCCTCATCGAAAACGGTTCTCGACGTCTCTTTGGACAAAATCCGTTTCAGGACATTTGGAGGCGATCTAGCGACGTCAATCCGTCCGTCTGTCTGTCTGGCTGGTGCGCACGATAACTCTGGGAGGGAGTATCCGATTTGATCCAAATTTGGTACATCGTAATATAATTGTCAAGCTTAGATCAAGTTCGGAGATGGGCAATATCGGCCCACTCCTTCTGGCCCCCCACAAAAGGTCGACTTTTTCAAAAAAAATATTTTACTGCACAGACAAAGAAGTGATAATCCGATTTTGCTCCAACTTTGCATATCCTAATATTTGCTAGCACTGATAGGTCAGGTGCGAAAAATGGACAATATCGGTCTACTCCATCAAGTTCCTCCCTTCACAAACGGTCAAAATTTGGAATGATTATAACTCTTAAAAAATTTGAAGTAAGAATCCGATTGTCTTTAAAATTCACCCATCCTAAAATTTTTATTAACCCAATGTCTACTGTGAAGATGGAATATATCGGTCCACTCCTTTTGATACCTCTCCCACAAAGGGTCAAAATTTTCAATATCCATGAAGCTCTAAAACGTGAAGTCAAAATCCGATTCCATTCAAACTTGGCTCATCTCAATATTTCCATAAACACAAGATATGTTATAAAGATGGTGGAGATCGGACAATTCCTTCTGGTACCTCCCCCACAAAGGGGGAACAACAAATACTATGCCCATCATTATCATCCCCAAATTGTCATTGACGATGAGGCTTGTGCCAGTATTGCCATGGCTATTGCCTGCTGCTGAATATTGTCACCCAAACCTGATGATGTCCAAAAGCAAAAAAAAAAACAGGTTAGAGTACCACAGAGAGATCTTGATTGGAAATAAAACAACAACAACCAATATGTGAAGAAGAAGAAGATGAAAAGCAGACACACAAGACTGATTGCAACATACATCATTGTTGTGTGCGTTTTTAGGGGGGACCCAAAAATTTTTTTCCAGATCGTTTGTTCGATTTGAAATTTTGTATGGTTTTGTATGTCTGTATGTGTGGATAAGGTATTCTTGCTGTTGTTATTGCATGTGAATAAAATAATACAAATTAACATTTTTTGTGGTTGCCTAACCCTGCCTGGTTGGCTGGCAGCCGACATTTGTCCAACTCGCTACCAAAAATATCCCCGTGGTGAAATGCCAGGAGTACAGGCAGGAGCAGCAACAGCATCCAGCATGCCATCATCAATACAAAACCCCAACGAGAAATTCATATGTGTTGTTGTTGTTGTTGTTGTTTTGGCCAAAGTTAAAAAGGCAGGTGTGATTATTTTGTTTTGTCCATTCATTTTTTTCTTTTTTTTTTTTTTTTTTGATTATGGAGAAGCGTATTTTTCCTACAGAAAGTCGTCTCTGCCATTATAGTCCAAATACTTGGCCTTTTGTTGGCATTCCAAAAAATACCATGATATAATTCTATGTGACACAAACACACACACCACACATTACACTTGATTTAATATACCCAAGGATGTTCCATTTGAAGTAGGAAAGAAAGAGAGATGAGAGAGGATGCTTAGGCATTCCATGTGGCGGAAGAGGATAATTTTCGAAGAATGTATGGCTTTAAATATCGATGTGTGAATTGTATGTGTTACTTTTCTTAAAGGATTCCTGTGGAGTTTGTAATAATAGGGGGTTTGACTTATATTCCTTGCCTGCACGTAAAATATTAATTTTGTGGGGGAGGGGAGACGAGAAGAGTGGGCCCATAAATTCTAAATTCACATCAAATCTCTGAGGAGAAACATTTAGATATATCAACGGAATCGCTCACTTGTTTCGCAAGTTATGAGAGATATAATTATTAAAAATTATCGCCCCTTTTGTGGGGGAGGTCCCAAAAGGAGTGATCCGATATTATCCATTTTCACAGCAGATCTTGTGTTAGTGGAAATATTGGAATGTGTGAAGTTTAGAATGAATCGGATGCTTATTTCGCATTTTATGATAGATTTGGTTACTAATATTTTGACCCGTTGTGGGGTGGGTACCAGAAAGGCTGGGCCAATGCATCCCATCTTCCCAGAAGCTCTTATGTTAGTAAAAATATTGGTATATGTGAAATTTGAAAAGGATGCAATGTTTTTTCCGTATATTTTGAGCGTTTTTATTATTCCAAATTTAAACCCCTGTGTGGGGGAGGTACCAGAAGGAGTGATCCGACATCCAGAATATTTTATGTTCATAAAAATACTTGTATGTGTGAAATTTGAAGTAGATCGAATGCTTATTTCGCATTCCAAATTTTGACCCCTTTGTGGGGGAGGTACCAGAAGGAGTGGGCCAATATGCCCCATCTTCCCAGAAGATCTTATGTTAATAAAAATATCGGTATATGTGAAATTTAAAGTGAATCAAATGCTTGTATCGCGTTTTATGAGCGTTTTGATCATTCCAAATTTTGACCCCTTTGTGAGGGAGGTACTTGAAGGAGTGGGCCGATATATATCATCTTCATACCAGCTATCATATTGGTAGAAATATTCGGATGTGCGGAGTTTAGAATGAATCGGATGATTATTTCGCATTTTATGAGCGTTTTGATTATTCAAAATTTTGACCCTTTTGTGGGGGAGGTACCAGAAGGAGTGGGCCAATATACCCCATATTCCCAGAAGATCTTATGTTGGTAGAAACATTAGGATGTGTGTAGTTAAGAGCGAATCGAAAACTTATTACAAATTTTATGAGCGTTTTGATTATTCAAAATTTTGACCCCTTTGTGGGGGAGGTACCAGAAGGAGTGGGCCGATATATACCATCTTCACACCAGATATTATGTTGGTAAAAATATTTAGATGTGTGGAGTTTAGAATGAGTCGGATGGTTATTTCACATTTTATGAGCGTTTTTATTATTCCAAATTTTGACCCCTTTGTGAGGGAGGTACTTGATGGAGTGGGCCGATATATATCATCATCACATCAGATATTATATTGGTAGAAATATTAGGATGTGTAGAGTTTAGAAAGAATCGAATGCTTTATTTCGCATTTTATTAGCGTTTTGATTATTCAAAATTTAGACCCCTTTGTGGGTGAGGTACCAGAAGGAGTGAACCCACATCAACGATCTTCACACCAGATCTTTTGTTAATAAAAATATTTGGATGCGCGAAATTTCAAAACAATCAGGCTCTTATTTAACATTTTATAGGAGTTAGATTTATTCAAAATTATGACCCTTTGTGGGGGAGGTGGACCGATAATGTCCCTTTTCGCACTTGGCCTAGCACTTATAAAAATATAAAGCTTTGCAAAGTTTGTGCAAAATTGAATGATCTTTTCTTGTTCTATAAGGAAAATTATTTTCTTAGAAACTTTTGGCCATATGTGGGGATGTACCATAAGGGGTGGACCGATATAGCCAATCTCCGAAATCGCTCTAAGCTTGATAATATTTTTACGATGTGCCGTTTGGCCAAATCGGACTCTCCCTTCGGGGGTTATCGTGATCACTAGCCAGGCGGACAGACGGGCACCTATATATCGACTCCAAATGTCTTGAAACAAATTCGGTCCAAAGATACCTAGGGTCTAAAAGTGATATTTCAATGAGGCACGTTTTGGAAGTATCAAATAATATTTATACCCTTTGTAGCCATATGGCTGAGAGTATTAAAAAAACGATTATCGATCCTTAAAAATTGTATTATCATTATTTTTTTTTTTTTGACTCAATTTTAATTTTCCCTCACACCCTCTCCTTCACTTTCAGATGGCGAATACATGTTTGCCGATCCAGAGAGCAAACTATCCAAATATGGTCCAAAAAGCTGGCGTTCCTCACACACTCATGTAAGTTGCAAATTCTTATCCGCATATGCCAAGCCCCTACTAACAATTCTTTTCTTTTTCAGGGTCTCGATGCCAATGGTCGACCCCTGCTGGAGTTACATTTTCGGGTGCAATTCTATATCGAGAGTCCGTTCATGTTAAAAGATGAGACGACACGACACAACTATTATCTCCAATTAAAATACAATGCCCTACAGCGTGACATACCAAGAGAATATGCCGAACAGTCGATGATATTGCTGGCGGGTCTGGCATTGCAGGCGGATTTAGGTGATGCCCCCAGTGGTAGCGGTGGTAGCAACAACAATGGTGGTGGTGGTAATACTAACAGCAATACATCTGGTGGTGTTAGCGGAGGTGTTGCTGGCAGCCTAATGGCTGGGGATTGTAAAACCTCCAGCGACAGTGGCCAGGGCGATAATAATACGAAAAGTGACAAGATTGGAGACCAACAACTAAATAAATCCTCGACCAGCACTACAACTTTGCCAAAGATTAGTAAGCGAGCTAATATGGTAAATGAGCGTGTTCTGCGGTTATCCAGTTACATGGCCTCGACCAGGGAAAATATTACGGGAATGGATGGTTTGAAACGGGTGTTGGGTGGAGCAGCGGGCAAAATGCCATTGTCACCCTCCTCTTCATCGTCATCGATTAGCCGGGGTCCCAGCAATGCCTCGACAAATGCCTCAACGGTATCGACCAATGCCAGCTCTTCGTGTTCCGATTATTTTCGTTTGGAAGACTATTTACCCGAGCACCTGAGAACCGCCTGGGCTGCCAGTGCCTTGAGGGCCTGTCATCGTGAGAATCGTGGCCTTTCACAAGCCGATGCCGAACTCCATTACATACAACAGGCCTGCCTGGTCAATGAATGCATTAATGCCCACACCTTTCGCATGCGCATGAGTAAAAATGAGCTAGGCCCAGGCAATTCGTGGTTTGTGGTCTATGCTAAGGGTATTAAGATTTTTGGTGGTGGCACCGGGCCAGATGGCCAACAGCAACAGATCACCTTCCTGTGGCCCAATATTACCAAGCTCTCGTTTGAACGTAAAAAATTCGAAATCCGTTCGGGAGAGAGTAAAATCACCCTCTTTGCCACGTCGGATGAAAAAAATAAAATGCTCCTGACCCTGTGCAAGGAGACGCATCAGTTTAGCATGAAAATAGCGGCACGTCTCAAGGAAGTCATCAAACGGGAAGAGGAGGAGAGCAACTGCTTGCATGCCTGTTATGTCTACTCGCGTAGCCTCCATTTGCCAACGTATAAAAATAAAAGCGATCAAAGGATATCTGTCATTTCGAGTACCAGTTCCAATACCACTTCGGGTATTGTCAGTGATCGGGTGCATTCGGAGGATGAACTGGAAATTATGATCAACTCACCACCAGCTCCCATTGCCGCACCGTCCACGGAAAGTTTGGCCTTGGCTCATCTCTTGGATCGGCCCAGTGTTAGCAGGCAAACTTCATCGGTGGGGCAGGTTTCGCTGAAGGATTTGGAGGAACAGCTGGCCGCTTTGACTGTGAGACAGGCCCAGAAGCAGAGGGAATCGCCCACGGAATTGAGTAACACCTCCTCGGCCGGCAACTCCACATCGACCAGCGGCTCTTCATCACTGCCCATGGCAGCAGGGCAACGCAACAACACGGACTCATCAACGGACTCACCATCCTCCCAACACAATATTGGTTCACAATGTTCCTCGACATGCAGCACCGTTGTGGTGGCCTCTTCCACGGCCAATGATAACAACACATCCCTGGCCACATTGGCTGTACGATCGAGTGCCTTAAATTCTTCGGATTCTAATCATCATCACCACCACCAGAGGAAAAACTCCACTTCATCTAGCCTGGAATTGGGTTTCAGTCACACGGCACAGAATTCCACTCTCTCCGAACCGGAATCCACATGTATTGATCATGATTTTATGTCCTCCAATCAGGAGGAAAGTGAAAGTGTTTCGGGTGTGTACACCTTGGCTCATGCTGTCGCTCCCACGGAAACATCTGGAGTTTATACCATGCACAGCAGTGAAATGACGGGCCAGTCGTCCGAAATGGCTGAATCGGAAAAAAGTTCCCATTATGGAATATTTCAACCCTCGAACAGCGCCATTGGCGAGGATCATAAGCTACAGGACTCTGTCGATGGAGTTGGTGGAGTAGGCGGAGGCGGAATAGGAGGTGGAGGGGTGGGAAATTATCGTGTAAAACGTTTGAAAAATTCCGATTTTCGTTTGCGTTCCGATTCGAATGTCAGCACCAGTGACTCCTTCCGCGGAGATGGCAGTGATCCCACAGATAACAAACATTCCCTGCTCTCAGCGGAGGAGCTGACGGATCTGATTGTGGGTCGTGGTTCTTATCCGAATCGCAAAACCGTTTCAAATACTTTAGATTCCGATTGCGATTATGTTACACTGCCACTCTCCATGTCGGGGGAATCTTATATCCAAGGTCATCAGGATACGGCACCCACAGAGGATCATGTTGAGGACTTGATAAGTGACCTCTTGCCCACCGATCCTCCGGCGCCACCAAAGCGCGTGGACAGCAATATACCCAGTTTGAGTAACATACAAATGCGCTCGCCACCACCCTACAATGCGAGGCATAAAACCACAGGGCTGTGTGGACCACCCATACGTTCCACAACAACAAGCACACTGGGCGCAAATGCAGGCAATGCCACACCAGTCTCCATTTCGGCAACGCAAAACACCACACTTCCTCCAGCAGTGACGCCCTTGGCCGTGAAATCAACGCCATCGAATCATGTGCCATTGAATGCCACTACGGAAACGAAGCCTCTTCCGAAAATAATGAATACACCCAAACCACCAACACCTCCCGCCGTGGCTGCGCCCACAGTTATTAAACGCCGCAACCCACCACCATATCCCATGGCCACCAAACCCAGACCAACATCCCTTATCTCTGTGGCCTCTTCAAGTTCCTCACTTAATCAGTCCTCCCCCTCCAATGGTTTCCCCAATGTGGGTGGCTCAATGACATCCCTCAAGTCGGAGGAGATCACCGCCCGTTTTATTACCACCAGGCCACAAATTAACATCCTCAAGGCCCACACCTCGGTGGTAAATGAGAATGCCAAACCAAGCTATGCAGCACCCACTAACTGTTCATCGGCTGCCTCGTCCAGCGGTTCGGTGTGCAGCCATCATCTACCCAGTCATTTGTCACAACTTTCGGTTCCTAATTCCAATTATGTAAGTGGTTCGCAGGTATCACTGAACATGCAGCAATTGCATGGAGCATCCACGCCCACAACACCCACCCATTCGTCGACAATGTCGGTGACCTCCATGGGTCATGGACAACAGGCTGGAGCAAGCGGAGCGGGAGTGTTGCCCAGTTCAATGGGCGGCCTACCAATGCATCATCCCTATTCACTGCACGGTGGTCACAAGAGTATGTCCTCTCTACATCATCACCATCATCATCAACAACAGCCACCGCCACCACCACCGCCCTATCCCTCGGAGCTGAAGCAGCCAACACCCAGGACATGTGTTCTACTGCCGGTCATAAAACCCCGACAATATTTACCACCTCCACCACCCAGTCTACCCCGGCAACCGCCGCCACCACCACCCACCCAATTGGCCAGCTTGTATACCACTCCCCTGGCCCACAAACAACTTGAACTCTACCAACAACAACTCTACAGCGATGTGGACTATGTCATCTATCCTCTGCAGGATCCAGCCGTGAGTCAACAGGAATATTTGGATGCCAAACAGGGCTCTATGTTGGCGGCCATGGCCCAATCACCACCACCGCCGCCGCCACATGCCCACCACCATCATCATCCCTATTTGACAGCAGCCTATCACCACCACCATCATCATCATGCTGCGGCCGCCGCTGCCGTCTCCCATCAGGCCTATGAGGCATGCAAAGGACATGCGATTTATCGCAGCACACCCTATCTGCCATTGGCCTTGACCACCCATTCACGCTACGCTTCAACACAAAATCTTTCCGATACCTATGTACAATTGCCAAGTGCCTATTCGCCCATGTATAGTCCATCGATGGCCAGTATCTGTTCATCATATGAACCACCACCACCGCCACCCCTGCATCCAGCTGCTGCCGCCGCTGTGACTGTAGTAAATCCGTCGGGCTCATCGACGGCCTCACTGTTCGCCCGATCACGTTCAGATGACAATATTCTGAATACGTTAGATTCGTTGCCGAAAGTGAAACGTTTGCCGCCTCCACCGCCGCCACCCTATGTGGACAGGCGTTTGAAGAAACCACCAATGCCGACGCCAACGGAGAAACCACCGCCAAGTGAGTATGGAAGAGGGGGGATAATTGTTTTTTAGGAACGTATTTTTTTAAAAATGAAACGAAAAAATTGTATTTTTTTTTTGCAAAAAAATTACGATTTTGAAAAAAAAAATGGAAAAAAATTTTACGATTTGAGCAAATTTTGAAAAAAGATATAAAAAATGGCTTTAAAAAAATATATTTTTTTTTAATTTTTAAAAATAATTTTGAAAATAATAATCAAAAAAAGCAGAAATATTAAAAAAATAGTAATTTATATTCCAAAATATTGTAATTTCCAAAAATATTTTCAAAAAAAAATTAAAATTTTGAAAAAAAAATTATAAAAATTTACGATTTGTAGCAAAATTAAAAAAAATTAATGTTTTAAAAACTTGAATTTGAAGAAAAAATGATCAAAAACGTTAAAAGAAGAACTATTCAAAAAGAAAGTGGAAAAAATAATTTTGAAAAATATATTAAAAAATGTACAATTAAAAAAAATGTAAAAAAATCTATGATTTTGAGCAAATTTTGAAAAAAAAATCAAAAAATGGCTTCGAAAGATATATTTTAATTTTTTTTAAACCTGAGATTATTTAAAAATTTATTTGAAAAAAATAATCAATAATTTCAAAAGATATGTTCAAGAAATGTCATTTTGAAAAATAAATTTAAAAAATTACGATTTAAAAAAAAAATGTAAAAAATTCTGCTATTTTGAAAAATGGATTTAAAAAATATATTTTTTTTAATTTTTCGAATTTTCTAATTTTTTTTATTATTTTTTCCCTCTCTGTTTTTTCCTTCCAGTTCCATCAAAGCCCACACCCTTAAGCCAAACTACAAGTAACAGCAATAGTAGCATTGCAGGACTACAACAATCGCAAGATTCAATTTCAGCATTCCGTAGCAGCCAATTACCGCCACGCAAACCGATTACCCTTAGCGTACCACGTGGCATTAATAGTCATATGACGAAGACATCAAGTGGTGCCCAGTGGGCTGGTGAAAGACCCAAACATGATCTGCTCTTGGGTCGGTGTCAAGAGAGCAATATTATTGCCCAGCTGCAGGCCTCAGTAGCGGCTGCCAAGCAACAGGCCAGTCGTACTGCACTGGCGGCAGGCCAATCAAATGGCGGAAGTATCACCACTACAAGCTCTGGCGGTACTGGTACTGGTCATTCCCAAACACCACCAAGTGAATTTGACATAGCCTTGCTGAGAGAGAAGAGTAAACATTTGGATTTACCCTTGATATCGGCCCTGTGCAACGACCGTTCATTGTTGAAGCAAACCAAAGTTTTGGCTCAACCAGCCAATAAAGGTTCAAAGCAATTGAAGGATGCAACAAGTGGCGGCGGTAGCAGTGGTGGTTCAACAAGTTCTACACCACCGGGAAGTAGTACCGAAATTAATGGTAATGCCAGCAGCAATGCATCAAGTAATGGCAGCAGCAACAATGCCACATCATCGACATCGGCAACAATTGCCATGGCCAGTGGCAAGGCTTTGTCCAGCTCTTCCACCAGCAACAACACCAACACCGGCACCACCACCACCACCAACATGACCAAGACACGTAAAACTTCGATACCACATCGTCATCCAAATGATAAATTGCCTCCGCTGCCAATGCAATTGGCTGAGGCCAATAATTATGTTATGGATCCGGCTGTATTGAAACATCATAAAAGCTATAATTCTCATACGTAAACGACAGAAACATCAACAACAACATCTGCTAACCGGTGGCCACAAGTGACAATTTTCATCAAGGTTTCATAATAATACAAAAAAACAACAACAAAAGCAACAAACCCAAACCAAACTCAAAATGAAAGGTATTCGTTTTCGTTAATAGTAGATTCCTGACAAGAAGACAAAAAGGTCATAATTTAATGTTGTTCCATCCATGGAAAAAAAATGGAGGAAGGTAAGTGGAATTACTCCTCCTCGCTGAACGAGAAATTTAAGAGAGTATGACAAAATGTAAGTTGGTCCTTTTATGCAAAGCAGAGTAAAGCAAGGCCACTAAGGACGTTATGTGTGGACATTTTAATATCATCTCGGAGCCGTAATTAGGTGCCTTGATGATGTTGAAAAAATACACATTATGATCTTGTTTGGTCTTGCTTTCCTTGAATCCAATATTGAGAAAATATTTTATAAAAATTTATTTCAATCTTCTCTTCTGTGAAAAGAAGTTCGAAACGACGAGTTTTTGTGGTGGAAATTATAAGATTTTTTCTAAAAAAAACACTTTGATTTCAAATTTCCTTTAATTACAAAAAATATACCTTTTTTTTCCATTATCAACGAGAAGTCAGTTAGTACAAGTTTTGAAAACGAATAATTAACGAATCGAATCGCTTTAACCTTTTGATAAAAGGAAACGAAAATTGTTGCAGAGTCGCCATGATGATGTTTCAGAGGCACCGTCCTAAAAAAAGAACTTATATCCCAATTGAAAAACTTGAAAATGTGGTTGCATACTTTTGGGTGGGCGGTGTTGTCAACTAAATGTTGCATGCTTTTGGTTGGAAATTTTTTTGAAAATCAGAAATGTGAAAAATGAGGAGTTTTTTTGGAACTTTTCAATTCATTTTTTTGGTGGTAAGAAAATTGAGATTTACAGATCTATCAAATCCATTGCAAAGGCCAAAGAAAAAGACATCTTAAATTTGAAACGTATTGAAAAACAAGATATACTTTTTGGTGTTGATGATAGCTGAATGAATCATGCTTTTAGGTAGGTAATTTTCCGAAAATAAAAATGTGAAAGAAAATTGGGTTTTGGATCGAAGAAGAAGAACATTTATTCCAACTACCAGAACCAAATGGAAAAAAGAACTTAAATCCCATGAAGCTGAATGAAGCATGCTATTTTTGAGGCTATAAAATGTGAAAGAAAGACTTTTTATAGGAAACTTTTAAATTTACTTTTTTAGGTAAATAGCAAAACCTAACCCAATCTCAGCTGATGAACGATTTTCTGCCTCTAGAAAATTGAAAGGAGTATTTGAAAAAAGGTTTTGATATTTGATTTCTATTCAATTCAAATATTGATTTTCTTAATTTTAGAGCTGTATCAATTCCAGGGGATAAAGAGAAAAATCCCTGACGAATAAGAAATTCTAGCATATGGCTGAGAAAAAGTGCATACTTTTAGGTTGATTATTATCATAGTCAGCTGATGCTAATGTATTTCTCATATTTGGTCCAACAAGCTCCAAATTCCAAAATAACCCAGAAACTCGACATCTTGAGTGCCTTGCAGTCCCTTGTTTCAGATGACGAGTAATAAAACATGTCACAAACAATTAGCCATTAAAAAAAACGAAATGTTGAGATTTTTTATGGCCAGGGCCGAAGATTTTATTCCCAAAATTCGCTGCCAGCATACGTTAAGTTGAGGCCGGTTTACACCTCTTTTAGGCGCTCCACACAAATTTTTAAAGTTCAAACAAACTGAACTATATACCATGAAAAAATATATAAATACGTTTCGTTGTAGTTTAAAAAAGTGCGCCTAAAAGTATGTTACAAAAATACGAAAGATTAAAGTGGGAAAAATGTAGAGAACCTTTCAGGCCACGACCGAAGTTTTTTTTTTCTAAAACTCTCTGTCAGCAAGGGTTAAGATAAGGCCAGTTTACACAGCATATTAAAATCATATGTGAAGTGACTTTTTCACATTTTAAGATTTAACATTTTTACAGCATACTTTTAGGCGCGCCATACAAATTTTAAGCTTCGTAGAAACGCTATGCTATATGAACTATATACCATGTAAAAATATATTTAAACCATAAATAAATACGATTCGTTATAGTTGAAAAAAATTGTGTAGAACGCCTAAAAGTATTTTAGAAAAATACGAAAGATTAAAGTAGGAACAAGTCATTTTGCAAATGACTCAAACATGATGTGTATTCGAGCCTTTAAAAACTCAAATAAAGGCAAAATTTTGAAATTTTTGTCGGTCAGAGCCAATTATTGATTTTTATGAAAATTCTCGCTAAGACAGGGTAGTTGGAACAGTTGGGGTAACGTCAGACAAGACAATTCATAGTGCCACCAAGAAGAAAAAACAGATATACGTCCCATCGACAATAAAGTATTTCTGTCAAATAAATTTTGGTCGAACAACGTGGTGGTGATCCCTGTTCATTTCTTCTTTTTTATAAAATTTTAAGAAAAAAGAAACAACAGATTTAAGCCCCATGGACAATTAAAAAAAGTATTCCTGACACGTAAATTTTGGTGAAACATCCTGGTGGTCTTCCCTGTTAATTTTTTTTATAAAATTATTAGACAGACGAAAAAACAGATTTAAGCCCCATGGACAATAAAAAAAGTATTTCTGACACGTACATTTTGGTCGAACAACGTGGTGGTGATCCCTGTTCATTTTTTTAAAAAATTATCAGACAGATGGCGGGCCATCAATCAAGTGACTGCAGTTATACTGCACTCACTCCAATTTAGACTAAGACAATAATTTGCTTAAACTCAGAAAAGTAAATATAAATATAGCATAGTTTTAGGATGCCTGCTGGTAAGTCATCACATGATAAGAACAAAGAAAAAAAATTCGAAAATATATATCTGAACAGATGATAGATAACAAATATTAATGCAACGGATCAGTATTATATAGTTGCATACATTTCAAAACCTTACTCGCATCGCCAAAGTAAGGCATACATTTAGGTTGTACCGTAGACCCGCAACAAAAAAAAGTATGGCAACCATGTGAAATCATCAACAACATTTACAGGGATAACATATAACGAATTTGGTTAGTATTTTCTAAACAATACATCATCTATACTAGATGATGACCTGCAAAAAAAGAAAGAGTTCTTTAATAATACATCATCATTATATGATGCTTCTATATATTATATATAATTTTTCCAATACTTACAAAAATTCTATGAATAAAATGGAAAAAAGTTAAGTTTAATATTAATTGTAAATAACAACAAAAACAAAAATAAGCAACAACATTCCTAGCAACACATAGTCAAGGCGTTAAGCGTTCCAACTTTATTAACTGACTTTTCTGCAAGCCATTTAGCTTTAAACAAATTCTTTTAAAAAAAACAATCCGTGTAATATATAAACGAGAAATACTACAATAATGTTGTGACAGACAAGAAGAGTTATATATAAACAAAGCCAATTTTATATAATTAATAAAAATGGTAAACTAAACTACAAGACACATACACACACAATAACAACGTTAACCTCAAATAAAAGCCGAATATACATTATATGTAATTTTTTATTGAAAAGAAAAAAAAAACAAAAAAATAAACCAGAAAACTACAACTAACAAACTAAATCTAGTCACTTTTAGGAAGAAAGCCAACGACAACAACAACAACTACCAACATAGAAAACAAAAATAAAACTATTCCATTGGAAAATAAACTGCAATAATACTCAAGTATAAAATACGGATTATTTCAAATAATTTAAAAAATCAATCAATAACTTGCTTTTTTGTAAAGAATTTCGGGAAACTTGTGTCATACACAAGGCGCGCCATGCCCTTTCTTTATAAAAGAAACAAAATCTTTTTTTTTTTACACGTAATTATTTTTTCTTCTCTGAATCGTAACGATTTTTTTATATGAATTTAAACCACCTTGTCATACACATACATTTGTTTTTTTTTTTATCAAATATATAATAATATACATATACTCATTAACTTAACGAACGCACACATTCATGCAAACACACACATATATATCTTAATAATTCCGCCCAAAACAACTGTGATTGAAATTTATTTTTATAGATATTTATCGAATATAATTTATATATATTTCCATCATAACTAAGCCTTTGCTTAAAAGTCAACTTATTTAACAACAACAACAACAATACTCTTTTAGATATTAGTTATATTTAAGGAATTATTTTGTTTTAAATTTGAAAAGCCCATTAGAATTATTGGAAATTGTTATAAAAAAGCATTTAGGAGAAGATATTTGAATTAATGAAAGACAAATGGTATAAAAATGAAGTATACTTTTAGGAGTTGTGATTTAAAAAGAAATCATGGAAATCGTATGTCTCAAAAACAAATAGAAAAAAAATCAGATTTAAAGCCCCCAATTTAAAATCGAAGTAGATTTAAAAAACTTAATTGATGACAAGCTATTTAAAATTGAAGCATACTTTTGGGTATAATCATTTTTTCAAATGCAAAAAAAGATAGTCAGGATTCAGGATTGAAGAAAGGTAAATTTTATAAAATCATAGCATACTTTTTAAAGCGCAAAAAATAGAAAACGAGATTTAGGAGCAAACTTTTTAATTTTAAATTTAAAAATTTGATAAAACAATAGCACATTTTTTTGAGTTGATTTTAAAAAGAAGTAGGAAAATTGCTTCTGAAAAGGTAATTAGGGAAATCCGTAATTTGAAAGAAATGCACTGATGATAAGCCAATTTAGAGTTGAAGCTTAATTTTTAGGCGTTAATTTAAATTCCAAAAACAGAGAAATAATCCAAAATAAAAAATAGAGAACAAGATTTTTGGGCAGACATTTTAAATAATGGAAAATAAATTACATAAAGTCGAAGCACGCTTTTTGGCGTTGGAATTTTACAAATAAATGTGGAATCGAAGCATACTTTTAGGCGTTTTAATTTCTTGACTGAAACAATAAAGAAACATTGAACATTCGGACTTCAAGCTAAAGTAAATAAATATCAATTAGGAGAGCCATAGCTTTTTTCAAGAGATTTTTGCATTCTCGTTATCCAAGTTTTTGGTCTGAGAAAATGTAAAGACATAACTCAAAAAAGGCCGATTGAAAAATTGATATAGATGCGATTTTATACAACAAATAATGAGGTTCATAAGGTCGTCCTACCCTTGAACCAAATTTGATGCCAAATAATGGTGTCTAAAAATGTAAATATCTCATTTTTCCACTTACCATCGTTTTTAACTATTTTGCGTAGGTTTCCATAGGCCCTCTTTAGGCGAGAAAATTGCTTATCGATACATAAAAAATTGTCAAGACCCATGTAAAAATAAAGAAATACAAACATACATACAATAAGAGGTCTGCTTCTTCCAACGAGGCTCGACTCTATGATCGAAAACGACTTGAATTCAATTCGTCCAAAAAACTTTTACCTCAGCCGATTTTGTCAACGATATTGAGGGCTAGCTAATTGTATATCGATGTCAGCCAAAAACGATTTTTAATTTTCGCAGTGGCAATTCCAATTTTTGTTTCTCAAAGCCTAAAAGTATAAGAAAGTTAGATTTTTAAAATTTTGAGGAGTATAAAAATTTAATATACTTACGATAAGTAAGAAGTAGCTTGATTTCGTCGAATTACAACGCTTTCGTCATCGTCACAATCAAAAACTTTTGACTACAGCTCTTCTCCTTAAAGAATTGCATCGCATTAGAATATTCAGTTCTAATTTCAATTTTTGTTTCCACAAGACCTAAAAGTATAACAACGTCTGATTTTTAAAATTGTAAGGAGAGTAACAATTTCGTTTACTAACGATATGTAATATGCAGCCCTCTTATGATTTTCTGATAACAAAATTTCCACTTTCGAAATTGCAATCCAAAAAGTATGCCAATAGATCTGTAATTTAAATAATTTTTAATTGTTTTTTTTTCAAAAATTATTTTTTAAAACTAAAAAAGGTTTTCAAAAATAGATTTGGATCTAGTCTTTTTCAGATTTTTTCCCCAAAATTTGTTCAGAAAACAAACATGCTATAATGTATACTAAAAAATCATTTTGAATCTAGTCTGCATTAAATATCATTAAATTAATCTAGTTTAACATTCACAAATCAATTAAAAATTAAAAAAATTATTTAAAAACTTAGAATTTCAAAAAAATCCAATTTATATCTAGTCTTTCATTAGTTATTTATCATCTTTTCCAAGAATCTTTTTTCTTATTCATAATTCTAAGGGGCTTTTTGAAAAACAAGAATTTCTAAAGAAAAACTCGAAAGAAACCTAGTTTCTCTTCTCCAACAAAAAAAGGAAAACATTGAATTTTTTTACATCATGACCTTTTTACAATTTCTTAAAGAAATTTATATTGAAAACGAATATTTCTTTTCAAACAAAAATTGTTATATATTAATAATAATTTAAAAAACAAGAAAAACGCTAAAAATAATAATAAAATTACAACAAAAAATGAAACTTGTGAGAAAATTCTAAACTTGAATAAAAATTGCATACAACTTGCCCCACCGTATAATATACATTCAATGTATGAAGAATATTAAAAGAAACAAAAGAAAACAATATTGAAAAAATATTATATTTTATATAGAAATTAGTTAAGAAACAAAAATAGCAACATTTCACATTTAAAAAATAATAACTTTTATAAAAAGAATTGTAATAATTTTCTTAAAACAAAGTAGCAAGAAAAACACGCGCACAACACATTAATTTGCATAGGTTTTATTTATGAAAATCTATGGCTAAATTGCTCCAAAATGTGTTAGATAATGAAATGGAAATATTAAAAATAAAACAGAGTTAATATTAAATAACAAATTTTTTGCCATATTTTTCTATTTATTATTTTCTTGTGTAAAACTAATAAATAAACAAATGTTGCATTTATATATTAATCAAAATGATATGAAGAAAAGAAAAAAAAAAAAACAAAATAAAAAAATCTATTAGAAATTACTAATCCAATAAAAAGAGAAATATATTTTTGTATACGATAAGTTTATATATATTAAAAAAACAAATTTATAATCAAGGGCTGAAGATATTTCCGGGACTATTCGAGAAAGGTTTTATTATTTTTTAAAGGCAATAGAATTAAAAAAAAACAAACAAAAAGGAAATAGAGCAAATGCAAAACACGCCTTAAAGTAGGCTTTACATTTGTTAGAAAAGCATCATTTCAGCTGAGCAAAATTTAAATGACGGGCATTAGTTTTGTGATTTCCATATTTCCAATATTTTTATAATTTATTGGTTTGTATTTTTTTAATTAAAAAATAATTAAATAATTATTTTTTTTAATTTTTTTATATGCTTTTTTTTTTAAATAATTTTGAATACAAATATTTTTTTTTGTTTTGAATATAACTAAAAAATATTTGTTTTATTAAGAAATTAATTTCATTGAACAATTAAATTTTCATTTTTAATTTTTTTTATTAAAAAAATTAAATAATTTTTTAAATGTTTTTTTTTTCAAAGTAATTTTGAATATAAATAAAAAATATTCATTTTTTATTATTTTTATTAAAATCAAAAAATTACATATTATGTTTGCTAAATTTTTTTAAAAAAAAATTTGTTTTATTAAAAATTATTTTAATTAAAAATAAAAAAACTAAATTTAATAAAATTATTAATAAAAAATATTATGCTTTACTAAAAATGTATTTTCATTTGAGAAATTATATTTTTTAAATTTAAATACATTTTTATAAAAACCTTGCAAAAATAAACGTAACCCCCACTATTACATAGTCCCGGAAAATTTTCAGTCCATATGTTTTATAAAAAAATGTTTTTATTTTTGAGAGAAAAAAAATTAACGAAACTATAAACAACATTCCCATTGAATAATTTTATATAGCAAAACAAAAACAATTTATATTTAGCCATAAGTCACAAAAGCAAAACATTATTTAGTTAAAATAAAAACCCAAGTTACTATGGAATTTTTGTTGTGAAAAAAAATAAATTTATTTTTTGATTTTTTTAACTTAAATTGCCTTTAGAAACGCAATTTCTTTAGATATTTTCTTAAATAATTTTGTTTCAATGGAAAAAGGTCCTACATTAATTATATGTTTTTTAAAACTCTTTCTTTTTTTGATTTTATTTCATTGTATTGTATTTTATTTGTTTTTGTTTTATTACTTTGATTTTTTTTAATTGTAAACAAAAAATATTGATTTCACAAAGAGTAAACAAAACAAAAATAAATTTGTAAACAAATTTATTGTAAGTTTTAATTTTTTGATAATGTAATGGAAAATTTAAAAACAAAACATAAAAAAACTGTTTTAGGTCTTAGAAATTTTTGATATAAGTTTAAATAAAAAATATATATATTTTATAAAACTAAAAAAAGAAACATGTGTTTTATTTGATTATTAAGCTAAGCAAAGGAAATGGACGTGATTCACGAAGGGGTTTTATTAGATACAAAAAATGGAAAACACTCATTGGTGTTGGAAAATATGGCCAAATATAAAAAAGAGGTTCCACTCTGTACCAGAAATTGGAACTAGGTTAGGTTAGTCAAGGAAAAAAGGAAAGTAGGAATAACAAGCAAAAAAGTAAGTAAGTTCGGCGGGCCGAAATTTAAAATAATAACAATTTTCAAAAAAGAAATCCGTCGAAAAATACCGCTTGAATGAAAACGGTTATGTGGGAGCAATACGAAGACATGGACCTACATAGTTAATTACCTGTCACATGCTGTAGCACCAATTATGAAACAATTCCGATGAATAATGTCGCTAAAATCATCAATATACTGAATAAAGGAAGGTACTGTTATATGTGGGCTATACGAAGACCAGGAACCGTATAGACAATTTTCTGTCATAGATTGTAGTACCCATTACGAACATCAAATAAGAAATATGAAACAATTCCGGTCTATAAGATCTCTAATGACATAAAAATGCTGAATATTGAGGGTGCCGTTATATAGGGGGCTATACGAAGACGTGGATCTGCATTAGTAATTTTTTGTAGGTTATCGTTTTTATTAACATCTTCCAATACGACATTTAACACAATTCCGTTGAATAATGGGGTTAATATCATAAAAATACGGAACATTGGGAAGTACCGTTATATGGGGGCTCAACCTGCCTACTGGCAAAATACACGAGTGTGCAAAATTTTCTAGCTCAACTCGTTCGAAAAATAAATAGCGTAATTACAACGGACAGACGATCAGACTGACGGACAAATTTAATATATCCTCCATAGTATGGTGGAGGCTATAAAAATTGAAAGAGTTGATAGGTGATAGATATTTGTGGAGAAGTAGAAAGGATGGAGAACAACGTCGAATAGAGTTGTGCTTTAACTCTGGTGCCAGAGCCAGTAAAGACTTTTTGTCTGAACGCATGCTAAGACCGAATAACTCCTTGTCTTTCCCTTGATAGAGCATGATAGCGGCATAAAATGGGCTCGGTAGTTTAATTTTCTTCCTCATTTGGACGTTCTTGATCGAAAGTTGCGATGGCCTATTGTTATCCGTAATATTGATTTATTCATGCCATTTATTACATCTGGCCAGATTTGTTTTGATACCATTCTCCGTGGTCTGTTGCTCTGTTAAAATTACAAAGAGGGGGTGATTTTAACATTTCGACGACTTTAAGGTCTGTTGACTATTAGCCAATTCTTGCCAATTCCTCGGCTTTCCCATTTCCTTCAAAATTACAATGAACAGGCACCCAGATTCCCAAGAGCCTGCATTGGAATTGATTGTAGAATCAATCCAACTTGTAGGACAAGGCCATCCTAGTTGCTCACAGAATAATCCGAACCCGGTGCTTTCTTCCATTTTTGATCCATCTGTAGAGGTAGGTTGGCTCCGCTCCATTCATTCCTGCCTGGAAATGGTCTGATCTCTACCAACTTTATAACACATCTTGTGTTGAAGGAAATATTGAGATTTACCAAGTCTGAGTGGAACCGGATGTTCATTTCGCCGTTTATGAGATTATACTCAACATTTTAACCCTTGGTAGGGGGGTACCAGAAGGAGAGGACCGATTTATCCCATCTTCACAACAGATCTTGTGTTAGTAGAAATAAAGGAATGTGTGATTTTATAAACATTTTGGTTATTCAAAATGTTGACCCTTTGTGGGGGTGGTGGTACCAAAAGGAATCGTTAGATCGACTCCAAATGCCCTGAAACGGGTTTGGTCCAAAGAGACCTAGGATCTAAAACCGTTATTTCGATGAGGCACGTTTTGGTATATATCAAAAGATAGGGTATATATCTCTATCCATATGGCTGAGGGTATAATAACGTAACGTTTTGGGAAACTTTTAATATGAAAGTCGTAACGGAATTTGATCGAAAGGTGTAAGGTGAACAGAAAAGATGATAAAGGCAAAAATGTTATCTGAGTGAGACCGTAAATGCAAATACTACCTTTATTAGACCATCTAACATTATCATTAAATGTCTCAGCTATGAAAAGGAAAGAAAGTATTTTAAACAAGTAAGGCTCGTTTTTGATCTGCACATAGCAAAAGCTTTAGATCCCATCCTTTTGTAGGAATAACTATAAAAAATAATAAATCTATGCAATCGAGACTAATACAAAATCCCATTTTTATTCCGAAAAACAAACTTAAACAAAAACTTTCAACTGAAACATCGAAGAACCCAAAATTTGCAACATATTTTTTATTTCTTTGTAATTTTTATTTAATTTCTTATCGCATTTTCTTCCTTACTCCTATGACACTTTAAAACTAACCATATTTACAAACACTTTTAACGACTATATACTATCACAAACAGTTGAATACAAATGTGTATTGTGAATGATTCGGAAATAAGAAAATAAAATAAAAAAAAGAAACAATAATTTTTTACTTAACATAACTATGATTATTATGAAGTGCATTTAAAGGCAAATTTCTTTTATAACTGAGTTATTTCTATTCGGCTTATAACTAGAATGTATGTACAAAAAACTTTTTTCACATAATGACTTAGTTCAGCTAACTATAGTTTTTTTTTTTTTTTTTTTGTACAGAACCAACTTAGAGGGTAAAGATGAGAAAAAAATGTGTCAAATACTATATCAATATCATCTTCAAAAAACGCAGATGAATAATAGATTTTCTTGTTGTTGTTGTTTTTAATTGGTTAGCATATCTTCATCGTCAGAGACCGAACGTTTCCAACGTTTAGTCAATGTCAGTGTAATGCCGGTAATGAAGAAGATACCACCCAAACATGTCAAGGCAATGCCAAAGTAACGGCCATAGGATTCCAAATTGATTAAGAGCTGCAAAAATTTGGGAAAATATTTTCAATTGGAAATGAGTTTGAAGGGTGATGTAGTTTATATTTAAAGTAAAATGGAGAAATGGTTGAGAATCGAAGGATGATGATTGAATGAAATAAAAATGAAAAAGCGCAAGAAAAAAATCTGAGGGAAGACCATATATCTACACCTCTTCTTTTAATTTTGAAATTCGTAGTTAATGTTCGTTAATTAAAATTTTGATTTCATATCGTAACCCCGAAGTAAAATTGGGCCCACTGTAAGAAAAAAGTCAAGGATGCAATTTTCAGGTGGCCACTTTTAGAAGGAGGGACATATGCTTCTAGACCACTTAATTTGACAAAACATACTCATGGAGAAATCTAAAAGTGGACAAATATGAATTTCATATTGTTACTCGAAGGTTAAATCGATTTGGCCCATTGTAAGCAACAAGTCAATGATGCAACTTTGTGGTGTCCACTTTCTGAAAGGGCATCGAAGAGACATCTGGATTCACATATTTTGACAAGTCAAACCCATCAGGAAATTTTATAGTGGCCAGACTTAAATTTCAGTTGTTCAGTCTAAGGTGAAATTGGTTTGGGCCCACTGTAAGAAAATGGTCAAGGATATAACTTTGTGGTGTCCACTTTTAGAAAGGGAATCGAAGAGGCTCCTAGGCTACATATTTGAACAAGTCAAACCAATCGAGAAATCTCAAAGGGGAAATATTTAGTTTTCATATAATCACTCCAAGGCCTAATGGATTTGGGCCCACTGTAAGAAATGGTCAAGGATATAACTTTTTGGTGTCCACTTTTAGAAAGGGCATCGAAGAGACTTCTGGACTACACATTTGGATAAGTCAAACCAATCGAGAAATCTCAAAGGGGAAATATTTAGATTTATTTAGATAAGTCAAACCAATCGAGAAATCTCAAAGGGGAAATATTTAGATTTCTTATAATCACTCCAAGGTGAAATTGCTTTGGACCCTATGCAAGGAAATGGTCAAGGATGCAACTTTGTGGTGTCCACTTTTGGAAAGAGCATCGATGAGGCTTTTAGTCTTCATATTTTGACAAGTCAAGCCCATCGGGAAATCTCACAGTTGACAGACTTAAATTTCAGTTTGTCTCTCTAAGGTGAAATTGGTTTGAGCCCACTGTAAGGTAATGTTCAAGGATGCAACTTTGTGTTGTCCATTTTTGAAAAAAGCTTCGAAGAGGCTTCTAGACCATTTACTTTGACAAAGTAATCCCATCGAGTTATCTCACAGTGCCCAGACTTAAATTTCAGTTGGTCACTCAAAGGTGTTATTGATTTGGGTCCATTGGAAATAGCCAAGGATACAATTTTGTGGTGCCCACTTTTGGAAAGAGCATCGAAAATACTTCTAGGCCACAGATTTTGTCAAAGCAAATCCAGAGGAAAATCCCACAGTGGCCAGATTTAACTTTCAGTTGATCACTCTAAGGTGAAATTGGTTTGGACCCACTGTCAGCAAGAGGTCAAAAATGCCACTTTGTGATTCCCATTTTTGGAAAGACAAGATGTAATTGGTTTGAGCCCTCTGAAAGCAAATGGTGAAAGATACAATTTTTGTGGTGTCCATTTGTAAAATGAGCATCGAAAATGCTCCTAGACTACTTTTTTTGATAAAGCAAACCTATCGGGAAATCTCACAGTGGCCAGACTAAAATTTATTTATTATTGGTCACCCTAAGATGAAATGGGTTTGGGTCCACTCTAAGGAAATGGTTAAGGACGCTACTTTGTGATATATATTTTTGGAAAGAGCATCGAAAATGCTTCTGGGTCACTTATTTTGAAAATGCAAACTCTTCTCACAGTGGCCAGACTTTGGTCACTCCAAGGAAAAATTAGTTTGGACCCATTGTAGAAGAATGGTCAAGGATACAACTTTGTGTTGTATATTCTTGGAAAGAGCATTGATAATGCTTGTAGAATAATATTGTTGAAACATCAGAGTTGAAATTGGTTTGGTCCCATTGTCCTTGAAAGCATAGGTATATGTCTATATTCTATGTCTATAATAATCGGTTTAAAATTATCATTTTCTACACAACAGACAGAAGTGGTACAAGCCTGTTCAGGAAAGAAAAGATCAGAACCTACTTTTCAATTACATTGGAAATGAAAACTAACAGCAAAATAAAAGCGCTATCTAATTTATTCTTCATTTTAAAGTAAACAACGATTGACTGATTAATTATTTAAATCAACAGTTTCACTGGAGTTTTCTAAGAACAAATAAAATTGCGATAATAACTGAATGTGAAATTAATTCTCTATACAATGAAATGAGTGATCTTAAAACAAACCATTAAAACTTACCTTGGCTTTCCTGGCAAAATCCTCGGTCAAAGGAGCAGATTGTTCGAACCAGAACAAGGGCAGTAGGAATTCATTGATATCACGATAGATACTGCAAAAAAAAAAAAAATACACAAAATTGTATATCTTCAAATGTTCAAAAATTCGACTATCAAAACTTACTCATAGTCTTTATCGCGTGTCATCATCAAATTGATTTGCACACGACCATCAATATTCAATGGTATACCGGTAAAAGGTTCCACGGCAATGCGGAATCTGTGTTTCTCATAATCCGGATTCATGCCGGTAATGGCATTCCTGTACGACTCGTCGGCCAAATAGAAATGTGGGAATGAGGCATAAATGGGGGCATTGTCACGACATTTCTTACAATCAACCACACCAGTTTTCGGGCATACTTCCTGTTTGGGATCACAGAAACACTGTTGTATGGGATAATTTTCACCCGAATCCAATGTCTCCTCAGTGCCTACCCATTCGGTGGCGGTTAAACCTAAACGTGTGATGGTTCCATTGGGCTTTAGATTCATGAAACGGCATGTATCGGTAACGAAAAGGGTCAATTCGCCAGTCGTATCCAGATTGGGTGGGAAAGAATCACCGGTGGTGCCATTGACCGTACCACATGGGGCTGGATAAAATCCAGTCTCATTACGTCTATTCCAATGTGTCAGCTGGCCCAATTTCGAAAGATCATTTTCGCCCGTGTAAATTGTGAATGAACCATCATATTCCAATGACATATTACGATCGGCCAACCAGGCAAATTTCGTATAGGGAATATTGATTTTCGATGTATTGAAAAGATTGAGGAAATCAATAAGTCTATCCTCATAGCCATGGAATATCCAATCACCGGCCTTTTGGGTTGTTGCCAAGCTGCCACCCTCACGATTCAGCATAAAGTTGATGACTTTCTTGATTAGTTTATTTGAGTGACGCATTTCATCGGCAACGGTCTGAAAAATAAGTTATTATATCTCATTTATTGTATTTGGGATGGATATATGAATTTTTTCACTTACCGCTGTAATGGGATGAGCTGTGGTAATCAAATCATCCTCGGTACCATTTGATCTGGAGGCATCAAAAAACCATGAACGCCTTTCGTAATATGTTACCGTGCCGTTTTCATGATGCGTTATATTCTCCTTGGAGTGTTTTTCCAAGTAAACATATGGTCCCAATTCAACAAAATTGGGTTTGACATTGGGATTGTGTATCTCTTCGGGATTGGTCCAATTGAACATATAGAAACTGAGATAAATGGGAATTGGTGCCTGTTTCCAGCTGTCATAGCTTTCACTGCCCTCAACCAAAACTAAATTCTACGAGAGAAGCCAAACAAATAAAATTATAAATTAAAATTCAAAAAAGGTAGTTTTTAAGTAGAGTTGGGTAACTTACATTATTTATAATGGACTCCGACCAAGAGGGCCACATTACAATTAATAAAATACCCAGGGCAGCAAATACGGTACCCAAACCGTATACCCAGGCTTTGCGTTGTGTAACACTGCAGCAATTGCAACACATTTTGCAGCAATTTTCAATTAGACAAAATTGAAAAATGTATTGAGTTTAAACTTGAATTGCTTCGATGCAAAGAAGCCGATGACTCGTTTCAAAAATGTATTCTCCCCTATATGAACATCTGCAAAATAAAAAGAAAAATAAACATTAGATCGTTTTTTCTTAAACTATAGCGAAAGAGCCTACAATTGTTGGAACACTTATAATGGTGAAGGTGTAGAGCTTTTTTTAATATCGGCTAAAGAAACTTAATCAAGTAAATCCATAATTTGTCTCTAACCTAAAATAATTTTAGATAATTAAAAAGTATCAGTCGGGTTTGACGACAGATGTATACCCTCGGCCAATGTTCGATTATTTAATTATATTTTGACTTTAATTATAATTATTCAAATTGTTGACCCTGTATGGAGTAGGTTCCAAAGGAATAAATTAATATAGTCCATTACGTATCGGACCTAAATAAATATAAAATAAAGATGCGATGTGTCAAGTTCGGACTATATCGACTACTTCCTTTATATAAGATATGTAATAATTTTGAGAAAATATTGAAATGTGGGTGAGGTACCAGGTATAGTAGGCCGAAGTATTCCAATTTTCACATTTCATCTAATAAAGGTAAAAATATCGATATGGGCAAAATTACAAGAAAATCGAAAATTTATATCCAATTTTATGCGAAATCACAAATTCCATAGTTATCTCAGGTTTTTGGTTGAGAGAAATATTTAGATACAGCATGTTGTAAAGAATCGTTGACTTGTGACCCTTTGTGGATGAGGTACCGGAGGAGTTTCGCAGATATATATCATCTTCACAACAGATCTTGTGTCACCAAAAATGTTTGGATGTGTGAAGTTTGAAGAATTTTGGATTCTTATTTCGTTTTCTTTGAACGTTTTGTTTTTCAAAATCCTGAAACCTATGTGGGGGAGGTACCAGAAGAAATTGTTCGTTCTCTACCATCTGTATAGCAGATTTTGTGTTGATGGAAATATTGAGATGTGCCAAGTCTGAATTAAATCAAATGTTAATTTCGGGGTTTATGACATCCATGGGTATTCAAAATGTTGACCCTTTGTGGGGAAGGTACCAGAAGGAGTGGACCGATATTATCCATCTTCGCAGCATATCTTGTGTTAGTAGAAATAATGAGATGTGTGAAATATGAAGAGAACCGGATGCTACTATCTTTATAACAGATTTTGTGCTGATGGAAATATTGAGATGTACCAAGTCTAAATGAAATCGGATTTTAATTCCGCATTTTATAAGATTCATTGATATTTAAAATTTTGATCCTTTGTGGGGAAGGTTCCAGATGGAGTGGACCGATATATCCCATCTTCATAGCATATCTTGTGTTAGTAGAAATAATTAGATGTGTGAAATATGAAGAGAACCGGATGTTTATTTCGGATTTTATGATCGTTTTGGTTATTCAAAACTTTAAATCTTTGTGGGGCGGTACCAGAAGGAATGGTCCGATCTTTACCATCTTTATAACAGATTTTGTGTTGATGGAAATATTGAGATGTGCCAAGTCTGAATGGAATCGGATGTTAATTTCGGGTTTTTATGAGCTTCATGGTTATTCAAAACTTTGACTCTTTGTGGGGGAGGTACCAGAAGGAATGGTCCGATGCCTACCATATTTATAACAGATCGAAATATCGAGATGTGCCAAGTCTGAATGGATTCGGATGTTAATTTCGTGTTGTATGAGCTTTCTAAATATTCAAAATGTTAACCCTTTGTGGGGGAGGTACCAGAAGGAGAGGACCAATATATTCCATCTTCCCACTAGACCTTGGGCTATTAAAAATATTGTGCTGTTGTTAATTTGAAGACAATCGGACTTTTACATCTCATTTTATGTGAGTTATGATTATTCAAAATGTTGACCCTTTGTGGGGGAGGTACTTAATGGTGTGGACCGATATTGTCCATTTTCGGACCTGACATAGAACTGATGCAAATATTAGTATTTGCAAAGTTGGAGCAAAATCGGATTATCCTTTCTCTTTCTGTGCAGTAAATTGTTTTCTTTAAAAATTTTGACATTTAGTGTGGTAGGTACCAGAAGGAGTGAATCGACAGTGAATCGAACTCGTTCTAAGTTTGACAATAATATTACGATGTACCAAGTTTGGATCAAATCGAATACTCCTTACGAGAGTTGTCGTGCGCACCAACTTCCCAGCCAGGCAGACAGACGGACGTACATCGCTAGATCGACTCCAAAGCCCTGAAATGGATTTGGTCCAAGGAGACCTAGGATCTAACCCCTTTCTTTCGATGAGGCACGTTTTGACTGTAACAAATGATATATACCCTCTCTAGCTTTATGGCTGAGGGTATAAAAAGTCGGTTTAAACTTAGACAACTACAGTATAATCCAAAAACAAAGCAAATACATGGTATCTATAACAAACTTATTAATGCTACTTTATTGTCTTTAATCTCAAAACGATAGAATGTGGCCAGTAAAAATGCACCCGCAAATTACCCCCAAGGTAAATATTTGAACCCATTTTTCTAATCGATAAAGGAGGTGATAACATTTTATGGCAGACCCCTTGGGATTATTTTTTAAACCGATTATTGGAACCTGACACCTTGAGTGGTGCTGTTGAGTTCTGAATAATTTCCAATAATTTGGAATTTTAAAATGATAAGATTGGGGTTTTGATTATGTGGGAGATTAGGCGAAAATTGTTCGCCGCTGAAATAAAAAAGTGTTGACGCACAAGATTAGTAGTATTGATATATGTATAATGAAGTTTTTAACATTAAATCCTAAAATATATTTTCATAGCTTGAGATTCTTTGGAGGATTTTTTAATAAAGAAAAATATCAATATTTTCAATTTAAAAAATAAATTTTGAAGGACAATCAGTTTGATAATCATGGAAACTTATTTTGCGAGGATTTGAAATATTCTGGAGGCTGTATTAAAGCCTTGGGCACGCAAACATTTAGGCCGCAGACCTTGAACATTCCAACAGGACTCAACACCATCGCCTCGGCACGTGCCACCCAAGAATGGTCAAAAAATGAGGTTCCTCGCTTTATTTCCAGCGCAAAATGACTACCAAAATCACCGGATACCAATCCGTTGGACTATTGTGTCTGGAGCATTTTTGAAAGCAAGGTTGGCACTAAAAATACCAAAGTGTCGATTACCTCAAGCAAGCGCTTCGCCGGGAATGGACCAAAATACCGTGGAACAACATTCGGGCAGCGTGTGATGGTTTTATTGGCCGTTTGAAGACCATAATTCGCGCCAAAGGTGACCAATTCGAACAAATCTAAACTTATTCTAAAATTTGATGCTATTTCCGACATGTTTTGCTTTCATTCAATAAAATTTAAAAAAAATGTAAAAATTATGGCGATTGACATTTTGCAGTTTTTTATATCACCCTGTAGTTAAAAAAACCTTAAAAATCCATGATTATAAAAAATATTGTCCTTCAAAATTTATTTTCCAAAAATTAAAAAATTAAGTTTTCTTAAAAAAAAATAGAGAATTGCAAGACATGAATTCTCTATTTTTTTTTTAAGAAAACTTAATTTTTTAATTTTTGGAAAATAAATTTTGAAGGACAATATTTTTTATAATCATGGATTTTTAAGGTTTTTTTTATCTCACCCTGTAGTTTCATGTCTTGCAATTCTCTACTTTTTAAAGAAAACTTAATTTTTTAAATATAAATTTTGAAGGACAATATCTTTTATAATCATGGATTTTAAGGATGCTTTTGAAAGACGGACCAACCACCTTTATTCATGATGTTAGGAAATTTTTGAAGAATCAAAGTTTTCTCAGTTGGAATATTTCAAAGGCCACTCGTTCGACAATTTCTTGTTTGGGAATTTGCAAAAATAGGCTGAGAATATTATTACTGTAATCTATGTTTGTAAACATATTTTTATTCACATGTCACCACCACCACCATCATTGACCTAAAGACCGTAGATTAATCACATTCCTTATACTAAGTTAGGACGGCTGCCTCTTATCTCGTTCAGTATTTGTGTTTACATTGAAGGAATACATATTTTCTGCTATTGAGTAATGTGAGTAACCCGCTTTTTATCGCTAAAATGTATTTGTTTATCACATTTCTATTTTCATGTACACATTTGTTTTTATTTTTCAAAAAAAAAAAATGCAACACGCATTATAGAGGCATAGTGTTCGGAGTTATAGTGAGAAAGATAAACAAAAAAAAAACGAATAAAACTTAAGCTAAATTCGTCCGGGTCTAACTTTTAATACCATCCATGGAACTCCTATACGACTCGTCGGCCAAATAAAAATATGGGAATGAGTTTATACCTCACGAGGTACCAGAGTGGAGCGATATATTCCATCTTCTCACCAGGTTTGGGTTGGTAGAAATGGTGGGATGTGTGAAATTTGAAGGGAGTCGTATGCTTACTTCGCTTGGTTTTGCTTATTCAAAACTTTAAACTTTTGCGGGAGAGGTACCAGAAGGAATGGTCCGATCTCTACCATATTTAAAACAGAATTTGTGTTGATCGAAATATTGTGATGTGCCAAGTCTGAATAGAATCGGATATTAATTTAGCGTTATATCAGCTTTATGGATATTCAAAATATTGACCCTTTTTGGGGGAGGTACCAGCAGGAGTGGACCAATATATCTTCACACCAGACCTCGTTTTAATAAAAGTATTGTGGTGTGTGTAGAGAAAATATATTTATTCAAAATGTTTACCCTTTATGGAGGAAGTCCTTGATGGAGTTAACCGTTATTGTCTATTTTCGCACATGACCTAGCAAAGTTGACGCAATATCGGATTATCATTTCTCTTTCTGTGCAGTAAAATATTTTTTTTTTTTTTTTTTGAAAATGTCGATTTTTTTTGGGATAGGATCTATTATTACGATATACCGTGTTTGGACAAAATCGAATACTTCCTTCGAGAGTTATCGTGCGCATCAGCCAGCAAGACAGGCAGGCGGACATCGCTAGATCGACTCCAAATGCCCTGAAACGGAGCCATATGGCTGGGGGTATAAAAAAAGGGTTCATATGGTTATAAATTGAAGCCGAAGCAGTTAAAATACCGAAAAGTCGATAGCT